GTCAGTGAGGAGACCTTGGCACGCGCCTGTCAGGGAAGACGAGCTCCGCTACTGTGAGGACATTCAGTCAAATCCCAGAGATGTCACACTCCATCCAAGGTTCCTTTCTCACTAGCGTCTGAGGCGGGCGGGCAGGGGTGTGGGGGTACTTAGGAGGAGCAGACAGTGCCTCCTCTTGCTGCAGGAAGGGTCATGTGACTGGACTGGGCTTCTAAAACACGTCCATCTTCGGGAGACCCGTCTCGCTTCTGCTCGCTTCTGCACGAGGCAGGCATGCATGAATGGATGGGGAAGGGAGGGGTGGGTGTAAGGGGAGGGGTAGGGATCCTGCCCCAGAATTTTTGTGACAAGTTGGGGCTGGGGCCATAGCACAGAGGGGAGGGCGTGTGCCTTGCATGCCGCTGACCTTGGATCCGATCCCTGGCATCCCATAGGGCCTCCCAGCACTTTCGGGATTGATTCCTGAGTGCAGAGCCAGGAGTAACCCCTGAGCATCGCCGGGTGTGGCCCCCAAACAAAACCAAAACAAACAAAAAGAATATTTGGGACATGCCACAGTTGGTCCCATCCCTCTCTCGAGGCATGTATTTCACTCTTCTTGGTCCTTTTCGTCCCCTTGGCCCACGGGTCCAGATTCGGGGAGGAGTCAATGGCACAGCACTCCTGGCTGTCAGGAAGGAGCAAACCAAGCCGGAAGAGAATCCACGCGCTCTGCTTAAAGAAAGCCCGTTTCTATGCACCGTTTTGCAATCACGAGCCGATGTTAATACGTGGCTTGTGCCTCCGTTTAATACAACAACAAGGAAATAAATTTATGAACTATCAACAGACTTATCTAACCCAACAGAAACAAAGCTGCCTCATACTCATGCATACTATCGGGGTTGAGATTACTTGCTCCTTACAAAAGCCTTAAAATAAATACAATTTACAGGGGATAAAATTTGACTGGTTCCCTCCCACTTAAACAAAGGTCGGAATTGGCCCCCCAGAGCTGGAGGCCATCCTGTTTCCAAAGCTGCCTCCTGGTGTGGGAGGAGAAATGCCCGCCTTAAACCTAACAGGCCAGGGGGCCTGGAGCGAAAGCACAGTGGGTAGGGAGCTTGTCTCGTATGCAGCCCGACGCGGGTTCGATCCCTGGCACCCCACAGCGTCCCCTGAACCCTTTCAGGACTGATTCCTGAGCACAGAGCCAGGAATTATCCCCCCCATCAATAAATAAACATACTCACGCTACAGAACTACCTATTCTTAAAAACTGCTTTTCCAACTAGTTCTCTGCCTCTGCACTCAGCTTTTCAAGTACCTTGTCTTGTTGGAGGCACCTGACCTTCTGTGTCACCTTGGCCCCTTGGTGTCACCCTGGCCCCTTTGGGGAATTCACTTCTCTATCCCATCAACTAGCACAATAAGATTCAGTGCAGAGGAGCGAAACCAACAAGCCATGTTTAAAGCAGGAAGAGGGGAAACGGGACTTTTTCGGATGGAAAGTCTGTGTCCACCCCCCCTCTGTCCCCACTCATCACCCCCTGCTTCCTGATCCAAGTGATCGCCAGGACTGAGAAAGAAGCCTTGGGAGAAGAGGCTCCTGTGTTTGCTCTCAGACCTCAACCCAGTAAGACTTCCCCAGCCTTGCAGATGGCACTGGTGCCCTTTTATTTTTTTTCTTTTTGGGTCACACCCGACGATGCACAGGGCTTACTCCTGGCTCATGCACTCAGGGAATTACTCCTGGCGGTGCTCAGGGGACCATATGGGATGCTGGGAATCGAACCCAGGTCGGCCGCGTGCAAGGCAAACGCCCTACCCGCTGTGCTATTGCTCTGGCCCCTGGTGCCCATTTTATCCCCAGCAGTCAGTGAGCACAGGAGGAAGGAAGAGGAGGGTTAGGACGCTCTCTCGCTCCCTTTCTCCCTCTTTCCCTCCCTCCCTCTTTCCTCCCCAGCCCCCTCCCTGACTCTCCCCCTCCCTGTCCCCATCCCCCATGTCCCCCACCTGGATCAGGGACTCCAAATATAAGCTGAACTGGATATAACTAAGCCCTGGCACGTGGGGACACAGGAGCATGTGACTGGGGACCCGGAGCAGGCGGGTGAGCTCAAAGGACTCTGCTGTAAGAATCCAAGGGACCGACACAGCAAGAGCACTTTGCTAGGAGGACCACTGCCCCTGGGGGCTGGTTTCCGGGCACTCATTTCCCACGCTCTCTCCCACCCACCTTGGCTCTAATTCTCTTTCCGGTTCTGCCTTAGAACGGCCAGTGTGCTCTGCCCTCCTCCCTGCCTTGGCCATGACCTAGTTGATGCTGAGTAAGCAGTGGTGTGTCATCCTCCAAAGCACAGCTGTGTCTACCACACTCAGCACTTCCTCTTGTCACTGCGGGAAGTGTTTCTAGCATCTGCACCCAATGACATCTCCAAAAGTCTCTGCTTGTTCTCTGAGCGCAGTTACTGTGCAGATGGAGTGAGTCGTGAATTACAGGGACGTGCAGTCAGTGATAAGAAAGGGAAATGTGTGTGTGTGTTAGAAGAACATGCAAGGGGCTGGAGCGATAGTACAGCAGGTAGGGCACTTGCCTTGCGTGCATCCAACCCAGATTTGATTCCCAGCATCCCATAGGGTCCCCTGAGCACCGCCAGGAGTAATTCCTGAATGCATGAGCCAGGAGTAATTCCTGAGCATCACCGGGTGTGACCCAAAAAGCAAAAAATAAAATGTGTGTGTGTGTTGGAAGAACGTGCAAGAAGGGGGGTACCTATTCAGAATCGGGGATGCAGCCTAAGACCTAAGGGGCTTGAGGGATAGAGAACTTGAAATCTCTGAGGCTGGTGCTGGAGCAATAGCACAGTGGTTAGGGCATTTGCCTTGCACGCGGCCGACCCTGGTTCGATTCCCAGCATCCCATATGGTCCCCTGAGCACCGCCAGGAGTAACTCCTGAGTGCAGAGCCAGGAGTTAACCCCTGTGCATCGCCAGGTGTGACCCAAAAAGAAAAAAAAAAAGAAACCTCTGAGGCTCACACGGGGTGTCTTATGTCCCTCTTGGGTGAAAGTCCAGTGGGGTCCTATGTTTCTGGGGACAGTCAGGGCTCAGGAGCCTTCTACTTTGTTGTACCACCAGGTATGATCACCCTCCACCCACTGGGTACCTACCTCATGGTTACAGATGATTACTCTAGCTCCAGCCCTCACTTCTGCATTCCACTCTCCAGAACAGTTCCAGGGAGTGAAAAAAAATGAGTGAGTAGAAGTTCTGCTAATACTGTTTTCTGTTCCTGCCACCCAATACCCGCTGCTTCAGGATTAAAGGAACAAATTTAGGATTAAAAATTGTAGAGCACGGGGCGAGGGGAGCAATAGTACAGTGGGTAGGGTGTTTGCCTCGCATACAGCCGACCCGGGTTCGATCTCTGGCATCCCATACGGTCCTCTGGGCACTGCCAGGAGTAATTCCTGAGTGCAGAGCCAGAGCCCCTGTGCATTGCTAGGTGTGACCCAAAAAGCCAAAAAAGAAAAAAGAAAAAAGAAAAAAAAATGTAGAGCACAACTAGCTTTATGTCTCACAAAAAAGTTAAGGTCCTTCTTATTCCCAGGGAACAGGCAGGAAACCGCCCCTAGGAGCCAACGTGACAGCTTTGAAGTGAACTGTCTGCCAGCCAACCATGGCTTTCCTCAATACGAGTTCCCGTCTCAGAAAGGTCAGACTTGAAATAGTCTCACACTGTCACTTCTGTGGCTCTCAGGGGTGACCAGATTGGAGAAGGTCAATCACTTGACCAGAGGGTCATGATCTGGCGGCCTGTGAGGTTCAAGACAGAGTGAGGCCTGTCCCAATGGGTCAATGTTGTTGGTCTTGGGCAACCTAGAAATTCAAAGTAGAAAATGTGAGACTTGGCTGAACAGAAAAGGTGGTCGCACAAATGAGAAAGAAGAGGGTCCAACAGGGGTTAAGGTCTCTGACACTGCTCTTGCTGGTGTCATTACTATCTCTGGGTATGGATGAACTTGACCCAGTGACCCAATTCCAACGACGCTGGCTGGAGATGGGTTTCTGTCACTAGCGACGATGGTCTGAAATTCATCTTCAAATAAGGTTTAGAACTTCCTTTGCCACTGTTTTCTCCGCCTAAGAATCCCTCCTGCTGTTACATGTCTACAAAGTGACAGGGATACAGTTAAGAGGCAAAAGGGACAGTTCGGTTACCTGGTGTTCCTCCTACTTCTGCCTAAATCTGGGCAAGAGATGTGTGAGGCTGTCCATAATCCACAATTTAGCCCCACCCCATCCCGACACACCCACACCCCCCGGGGAGCCACGTGAAACCCAGGGCCCGGCCCCCACCCCCCAGAGCTGGCTTTGGGGCAGACTATTGGGAGTCCTGAGTCTCCGTCTTTTCCGATCTTGCCTCCGTCTCTTGGCTCCCCTGTCCTGCCGGTTAGTCCTCTCATCTCTAAGGTGCTCCCCCCCCCCCCCATTGACACGACTTCCACCTGTGGCCCCTTGGAGCATCTTGGGGGCCACAGAGGTGAGATTTGGAGGACCCAGCCCAGCCGGCAGGACTGGAGCTAGCCAGGGGACGCTCGCTGCAGTCCACTGCAGTCTGGGGAGAGGCCAGCGTGCCATGGAAGTGGGCGTGTGGTTGACACGGGCGTTCCATTTGATTCTTCCCGGGCCCCTGGGTGAAGGGGTCGCGTCTCTAAACGACGCCGGGGAAAAGCAGCGATACGTGTCCAGCCGGAGACAAGCGGGGCGAGACCTGCGCAGGCGCGCGCGCGACCCCGCCCAGTAGGCGTGCCAGGGGCGTGACCAGAGGCTCGGGGGCGTGGCCGGGCGCCGGGGCGTGGCCTGAGGCTCGGGGGCGTGGCCGGGCGTCGGGGCGCGCGGCGGGGGTCTCGTGGGCACGCCCGTAAGCGGGGGTCCGGGTGGCCGCGTGGCGGGGCCGGCGTCGTGGCCACCCCGGAGCTCGCGGGCCGCGGAGGGGGGGCGCGTGGGTCCGGCGCCCGGACGTTGGCGGGTGTCACATCCGGCGGGAGGGGCGGGGCTCGCGGATCCCGGAAGTGTGGCGCTGGCCGCGGCGGACTCCGTGGCTGCGGCGGCGGCGGCGGCGGCGGCCCCGGCAGGTGAGCGGGGGGGGGCCCGGGGACGAGCCCGGGGGGGTGGCGCCGGCCGGGCCCGCGGCGCGCCCCCCGCCCTGCCCCGGCAGAGCCCGGTGATTGGGCGCGAGCGTCGCGTGACTCCCTCCCGGGGCTGGCCGGCGCCCCTGCCCCTGGCGGGGAGGGGGAGGCCGGGAAGGAGCGCAGGGGGCGGCCCCGCTCTGCCCCTGCCCGCCCCGCTCCAGCCTCCGGCGCGTCATTGGGTCCCCGGGGCTGCTCCCAGGTCTAGGGACCTGAGGCGTGGACGGCCCAGGCCGGGAGACAGGCTCGAGAGCGAGCGGGGCAGGCTTCCAGCGGGCACCGTGGGGTCGGCGGGGCCATCCCCCCACCCCCGGACTTGGAGAGGATGAGGCTGATTGCAGCCTTGCCTGTGTGCGTGCCAGGACCGCCCTGCATCCCGTACCTGCCAGGGAGGGATTAATGGGCCGTGTGGATGTGATTATGGAGGGGAAGGAGGCCCCCTGGGGCTCTTGTGTGAGTTAACTGTCAGCCGCCTAAGTCAGGGGCCACCCCCAGAGCAAAAAATCCACTTTGGCCTCGGAAACTTCACACACTCCTCTCCCCACGCCCCAGGGATCGCTCAGCCCCCACTGTACTTTTTTGACTTTTCCATGGTGGCTGGCTGTCGCTTCCCAGGGAGTCCCAGTTCTTCCTGGTGCACTGTCCGCCCCCTGCGGTTCTTACTTCCCTACCTGTCAGAGGGATGTGGAGAGGCGAGTTTCTGGCTGTTTCCACCAGCTGCTGCGGACTGCCCAGGTTCTGGATGGGAGTGTGGGAGTGGGCATCTGGGCTGGGGTCCTGAGAGTAAACCCTCCTCAGCAGAGTGCCCAGAAGAGTCTACCCCCCATTCCCCCGCCCCCCAACATTTCCTCGGGCCTGACCTGGTGCCTTTGCCGTTTCCATGAAGTAGGTGCTTGACTGAGCTCGGCTTCTTACTCAGTTGCTCTGTGCGCTGTGCGCTTTGCATGTTCTAGGGCCCTAAGATTACATGAGGAATCCCAAGAACACATCGAGGAAGCTGGTGATCCCATGGAGCAGAAAACGTCCTAGAGGCGTGCAGATAACTAATAGCCAGTTGGGATTTTTTTTTTTAACCCCCTTCTTCCCCCAGTCTCAATTCAGAGTGCATGGACTTGTCCTGGTGGGAGATGGAAACGTCTGTGTGATGTTTGCGAAATTGCCCAGATTGGCAGGGAGCCCAGGAAGATACATTTTGTTTGTTTGGTTTTTCTTTGGGCAACACCCAGCTATACTCAGGGATCACTGCTGGCAGCTGGGCATGGGGTGTGTGGAGGGGGGTACCTTCTGGGGTGCTAGGAGTTGAATCTGGGTCAGCTGCTTGCAAGGCAAGTGTCCTGCCCACCGTACTATCTCTGACCTCAGGAGGCTGCATTTTATTTATTTATTTAGGGTGTCAGCTGTGCTCAGGGGTTACTCCTGGGGGTGCTCACGGGACCATCTGGGATGCTAGGGATCGAACCCAGGTCAAGCAGTGTGCAAGGCAAATGCCCTCCCCACTGTACTATCCCTTCAGCATTGGGAACTCCTATTTTATTTCATGTGTTTTACTTGAGGGCCACACCCAGTGGTGCTTAGTTAGGATTTACTCCTGGACCTGTGCTCAGGGGTCATTTTTGGTGTGCTTGGGGGACCCGATGGGGTGCCGGGGATCAAACCTGGGTTGGCTACTGTGTGCAAGGCACGAGCCCTACCCACTGTACCAGCCCCGGGAGCTGAATTTTAAACAAGTGCCCTGCGTGAGCATCACGTCGGGCAAGTATGGGAGGCGCCGGCTCTGCGGAGCTCAAACTGTGCTTGCCGGTAGGATGGTATTTGTTTATTTGGGCCACATTCAGGAGTGCTCAGGGCCTACTCCTGGCTCTGTGCTCAGGGATCACTCCTGGTGAGATCTGATGGGATGCTGGGGATTGAACCGGAACAGCATGCAAGGCCAGCGCCCTCCCCTTGCTGTGAGGGGTACTGGTCGCCCGTTGGTCTGCAGTTACCACCAGGCTAGGCAGGCCACCCGGCTCAGTGGCCATGTGAATCATCTCTGGACACCGTGGCCTGCCGTTTAGGGGGTTTCCAGGCTGACACAATCAGTTCATCGTGGCCGGGATCTGTGTTGGGAAATTCTGTGAGTTTCTGCGCTCCATCTGGAGTTGGCAGCAGGTTCTGGCCCATTGCCTCGGGACCGAGATCTCTTGTCGTGTTCCACAGCCCCTGAGATTTTGGGGGGACCTTGAGAGGCAAGTGAGTTCAGCAGGTGCTCCCTCCACGGTCCTCTCCCTTTATCTGCGTTTGCTGGATGGTGGGAAACCCTTGAGCGCTGACAAACAGGTTGGTCATGATTTAGCTGACCCCAACAAGCAGTGGAGCCCTGGGGCTGGGCAGGGCAGGGCGAGGAGAGGAGAGGCGAGGCGAGGCGAGCCTCACCCACTGTCAGCTTGACTCATAGCCCAGGTCAGGTACAAGGAGCATGGAGCAGGGTGAGGACTCTGAGGACTTCAGACCCCCCTCCTCCCCCGGGACTTCCCTGTGGGATTCCCACACAAGACCCAGCGTGAGGGGAGGCAGGGCTAGCGCTCTGGTCTCCTGCCCAGCCTGCACTGATTTCCAATTCAGTTTCTCTGCAGGAGGCTGTTCTGTGTGTGGTTCCGGGGCTGGGATGTATCAGGCCTTTGGGGTTTTTTTTGTTTTGTTTTGTTTTTGTTTTTCTTTTTGGGTCACACCTGGCAATGCACAGGGGTTCCTCCTGCCTCTGCACTCAGGAATTACTCCTGGCAGTGCTCGGGGGACCATACGGGATGCTTGGAATTGAACCCGAGTGGCCATGTGCAAGGCAAATGCCCTACCCACTGTACTATCACTCCAGCCCTCTGGGGGGTGTTCTTAACCCTCAGTTGACTCCAGTGGGGGACCCTCTCCCTAGGCTCTCTGCTTCCACTGCTTTTGTGGCCGTTTCTCTGAGTTACTCCTGGAGAGGGGGGCGCTGAAACTCTTCGCTGGGGGTTTCACTCATTTCTTCTTGATCAGACTTTGCTTCCTGATGAAGTCTGTAAAACATTCTGGAGGGTTCCATTCCTCTGACAAGTGGACCCCTTCTTTGATCATGCCATCATCTTAGCCCTGAAATCACCTGTGTCTTACTGGTATAGCCAGTCCAGCTTCTGCGGTTCGGTTTTTGGGCCACACCTGTCAGTGCTCAGGGTCACTCCTGAGTCTGTGCTCAGGATCACTCCTCACAGAACACTGGGCACCATACAGGGTGCTGGGGATTGAACTACTGAACCTGGCTTGGCTGCATGCAAGGCAAATGCCCTACCCCGCTATACTGTCTCTCTAGCACCGGTTTTTTTTTTCCTTTAAATAATATGTGTGTGTTGATTATTGGAATATTTAAAGAATGTCTGAGACCCAACGACAAATGAGCAACCTGATTCAAATGGAAAAAAGCCTTGGTTTTTTTTTTTTTTTTTTTTTTTTTGCTTTTTGGGTCACATCCAGGAATGATCAGGTGGTGCTGGGGGACTGTATGCGATGTCGGGGATTGAACCCCCATCGGCTGCGTGGAAGGCAAACGTCCTCCCTGCTGTATTATTGCTCCAGCCCCAATCTTTTTTTTTTTTTTTTTTTGGCTGGGAAAAAGCTGTGATTAGACTTTCCTCCCAGGAAGAGACAAAGAGGGTCACTCCCCTCACCGGTCATCATCAAGGCCCACAGATGTGACAAATCACACCGAGTGGGTGGCCCCTTCCTGCTGGAATTCTGTGCCAGTGGGGATGCCGGGGCCAGGTCTGGGTGGTGGGATTGTTTCTCAGTCCCCAAAGCTGAGCCGCTGGGGCTGCGGGTCCAGTTACGCACACGTGCCCTGAAGAAGCCCGCACGCGGAGGTGCTGGCCCAGCCAAGCTTTTCGTTCCCAGCAGGGAGACTCAGTTGCCAGCAGGCAGAAGTGTCTGAAGAGAGCACCCCGGGTGGTCCCGGTGGGTGGGAGCTCGGTATTCACAAGGAAGTGCATCTTTCCAAGGATGGAGTTTGCCGGTCGAGTTTGGGCTTCATGAATGGGGGTTCCATCCTGGCCCCTGGGAAGGGAGGTCAGAAGGAGGAAAAAAAAATGTGTGATTGTACCTCTAGCCTCGTCCATGCAAGGCCTCTGCAGGAAGGAAGTTTTGACACAAGTAACCCCTTTGAAATGTGAAGAAATGGTGCAGTGTCAAGCTCCTGGCGTCCCTATATCTTCACGGAGACAGAAAGCAGAAAGGGTGGGGGGAGTGCTGGGGTTGTGGGGGCGGGGACAGCTTCTTGGGGGCACTTTCAGTGGGTCTGGTGAAAGATTCTAGAGGTGGACGACCGTGACGGTTGTACAACATTCTCCAAACTGCATGCTTCAAAAATGGTTCCGTTGGGGTTGGAGCGATTGCACAGCGGGTAGGGTGTTTGCCTTGCACGCGGTTGAACCGGGTTCGATTCCCAGCATCCCATAGGGTACCCTGAGCACCGCCAGGAGTAATTCCTGAGGGTATGAGCCAGGAGGAACCCCTGTGCATCGCTGGGTGTGACCCCCCCCAAATAAAAAAGCAAAAATGGTTCTGTGGCAAGGGGGGGGCGAATGTGAGCGTGATGGGTTGGGGCCCCAGGGAGAAAGTTATCAGACCCATGGACTCTGGGCAGCCCCGAGACCCAGAGACCGGGGTTGGCAGGGAGCCGGGCTTGGAGTCTGGGACCCCTCTGGGAGGCGCCTGGAAGCAGACACTGGGCCGTGAGCACTGTCAGTCTGGGCAGGTGGAGGGTGGGATTCTGTGATGGGAACCAGCAGGAGCAGATAGAGAGGCCGCACTGGGGGTCCTGGAGAGGGGGTCCCGGCTCACCGTCTGCGAGCTGGGGGCTACACTTACTACCGGGATTGGTGGGAACGGGCTGTGCATTGGGGCTCGGCTGGTGCTGGCTTGGCTGCGTGGCCCTGGGG